ATCATCATAATAATGTTTCAAAAATGCTCTTAGTGACAGGATAATATTCATATGCCTACAAGGAAGTCTAGTTAATACTGCTATTATTCAAATATACCCATCAATCACCAAAGCTAAAGATAAGGGAATTGAAGATTTTTACCAACGTCTGCAGTCTGAAATTGACCAAACATGCAATCAAGATGTGTTGATTATTATTGGAGTTTGGAATGTAAAAGTTGGAAACAAAGATGAATCACCAGTAGTTGAAATATACAGCCTTGGTGACAGCAATGACCCTAGACACCACATGATAGAATTTTGCAAGACCAACAACTTATTCATTTTAAATACTTTTTTTCAACAACATGAACAGTGGCTATCTACATGAACTTCACCAGATGGAATACACAGGAATTAGATGGACAACATCTGTGGAAAGATGCAATGGAGAAGCTCAATATTTTTAGCCAAAAAGAGGCCAGGAGTTACTTATGGAATAGACCACCAATGGCTCATATGCAAGTTCAAGTTGAAACTGATGACAATTTAAAAAGTACTGGGGGCAAAAATATGATCTTCATTATGTATTACCTGAATTCAGAGACCATCTGAAGGATTGATTTGATTCATTGAGTCATAGTGCCTAAGCCATTTCACTGCTAACCAGAAGGCTGGTGGTTCAAACCCACCAGCCACTCCTCGGAAGGAAGACTGAGTAATTTACTTCCATAGAGTTACTGCCTCAGACACCCAAGGAGGGGTCACTATGAGTAGGAACTGACTCAATGGCAGAGAGTTTCTTTTTTTCTTCTGGACTGCCAGCCAGATGAATTGGGGGGTGACATTGCATAGTGGCTAAGGCACTTGACTGCTAACCAGAAGGCTGGTGGTTCAAAACCACCAGCCACTCCTCAGAAGGAAGATGGGGCAATCTACTTCCATAGTGATACTGCCTCGGAAACCCAAGGAGGGGTCACTATGAGTCAAGTCTGACTCAACGGCACATAGCAACAACAACATTGAACATCATACATGAAGAAAGAAAAAGATCATTAAAAAAGACATGAAAGGAAGGAAAGACCAAAATGGATGTCAGAAGAGACTCTGAAACTTGCTCATGTACAGAGAATAGCTAAAGCAAATGGAAGAAATGACAAGATAAAAGAGCTGAACAGAAGATTTCATAGAGCAGCTCAAGAAGACAGTGTCAATTATTATAATGAAATGTGCAAAGACCTGGAATTAGAAAACCAAAAGAGAGGAACACACTTGGCATTTCTCAAGCTCAAGGAACTGAAGAAAAAATTCAAGCCTCAAATTTCAATATTGAAAGATTCTATGGAAGGAAGGTTGGGCAATCCTACTTCCGTAGTGATACTGCCTCGGAAACCTAAGTCGCTATGAGTCGGGGCCGACTCGACGGCAAACAACAACAACAACAACATGGGCAAAATATTGACTGATGCAATAAACATCAAAAGTATTTGGATAAGGAATCCACAGTATTTTGAATACACAGAATTTTGATAAGGAATACACAGAGTCACTGTACCAAAAAGAATTGGTTGACGTCCATCTATTTCAGGAAGTGGCATATAATCAAGAACCAATAGTACTGAAGGAAGAAGTCCAAGATGCACTGAAAGAATTGGCAAAAAATAAGGCTCTAAGAATTGACAGAATATCTACTGAAATGTTTCAATAAAGAGATGCCACTCTGGAGGCATTTACTTATCTATGCCAAGAAATTTAGAAGACAGCTACCTGGCCAATTGCCTGGAAGAGATCCCAATTTGTACCCCTTCCAAAGAAAGGTGATCTCACAGAATGTAGAAGTTACTGAACAATATCATTAATATCACACACAAGTAAAATCTTGTGAAGATAATTCAAAAATGGTTGTAGCAGTATATTGATAGGGAACTTCCAGAAATGCAAGCTGGATTCAGAAAAGGTTGTGGAATGAGGGATATCATTGCTTATGTCAGCTAGATCTTGGCTGAAATAAAGAACACCAGAAAGATATTTAATTGTGCTTTATTGACTATGCCAAAGCATTTGATTTTGTGGATCTTAATAAATTATGGATTACATTGAGAAGAATGGGAATTCCAGAACACTTAATTATGCTCATAATGAACCTGTACATAGATCAGGAGGCTGTTGTTCAAATAGAACAATGGAATACTGCATGGTTTAAAATCAGGAAGCGAGTATGTCAAGGGTGTATCTTTTCACCATACTTATTTAATCTGTATACTGAGCAAATAATCTGAGAAGGTGGACTATATGAAGAAGAATGGGACATTGCAATTGGAGGAAGACTCTTTAACAACCTGTGACATGCAGACAACACATCTTGCTTGCTGAAAGTGAAGATGACTTGAAGCACTTACTGATGAAGTTTAAAGGCTTTAGTCTTCAGTACTGATTATACTTCAACATAAAGAATACAAAAAGCCTCACAACTGGTCCAATAAACAGCATCATAATAAATGGAGAAAGGATAGAAGTTGTCAAGGATTGCACATTATTTGGTTCCATAATCAACACCAATGGAAGCAGCAGTCAAGAAATCAGACAACATACTGCAGTGGGAAAATCTGCTGCAAAAGATCTCTTTAAAGTCCTGAAGAAAAAATATGTGTCTTTGAAGACTAAGGTGTGCCTAATCCAAGCCATGGTATTTTCAGTTGCCTCATATTCACGTGAAAGCTAGACAATGAATAAGAAAAACCAAAGAGTTGATGCTTTTCAGTTGTGTTGGTGAAAAATACTGAAAATACCATGCACTGTCAGAAGAATGAAAAATCTGTTTCAAAGAAATACCATTGATATGGTCATTAGAATGAGAATGGGAATGGTCAGACTTCGTTCCACCATCTTTGGTCATGTTATCAAAAGGTATCATTCCCTAGAGAAGGATATCATGCTTGCTACAGTGGAGGGTCAGTGAAAGAGGGGAAGGCCCTCAAGGAGATGGATTGACACAATGGCTGCAAAGATGGGTTCAGGTACAGCAAGGATTGTGAGGCTAGCACAGGATTGGGCAGTGTTTCATCCTGTTGTACACAGGGTTGCTACCAGTTGGAGCCAACTCAACAGCACCTGATAACAATAATAATAATAATAATAATAATAAATATATATATATATATATTTTTTAATAGGTAAGAAAAAGACAAAAAAGTTGTGTTCTTTAAGAGGGAATGATGTTTAGCAAAGTAGAACTAGATTATTATTTTTCACAGCTAATCCTGAAATAATTTCTGTATGTGGTTCAGGCTGGCCTGGGTATAGAGCCTAGAATAAAATATCTAGAGTCAAATGGCTATTTAAGGAGCTGTGGTGGCCTCTTGTGTAAGCCATAGGGCTGCTAACCAGAGGGTCAGTGGTTCAAACAAACAAGCTGCTCCATGGGAGGATGATCAGGCAATCTACTTTCATAAAGATTTATAGCCTTAAAAACTCAGTGGGGGTCACTATGCATCAAAATCGACTTGATAGCAGAGGGTTGGTTTGTTTTGGAATGGTTATTTGATAACTTGTCATTGACAAAATAACTGAAGGTAATCAATTTCCCATTCTGGAAACACACATAAGGGAATGTCTATTTAAATGAAAGTAAAAACTGTCCTGAAGAAGAGAACTTTTAGGAATTTTATAGTAAACAGGAAAATAATTCCACAGTGTAGAGGAAGAAATATTAAGGTATTTATAATAAAGGCTTAAGGGCATGAAAGCAATTGTTCTTGAGTAATCTAATCTCAAGAAGTATATGAAATTAAAAAATGAAAATAATCTCCTGAAGGTACTAATTGTTTCTCTTTTTTTTTTTTTTTTAGTTTTGCGATTGAATTCCTTTCAAATTCAGCAACGGTGGAATATTAATTACAGGTGTGATTTATGAAAGTATAAAGCAAACACTTCCCTGGATCACTAGAAGACTGTAACTGTCATTGACATTTTTTAATACATATAACAAAATGGAACAACTATTGTCAAAATAGATAGGATATGTGTTCTTACAAATGCCACCACAAGTCAGAAATGGTGCCAAAAAAGAAAAGAAAAGAATAAGTGATACATATGATAACACATTCTTTCAATGGATAAATATAAAATTTACAGAGAGATGAATTTTTTATGTGATTAACATGATGTTAAAAATATAACATGAGGAAATGTAGAATAAAGTATATTTTTGAATAAATTCACTTCACATATTTAGATATCAATATTGGTAAATCAAAGGTTCTTTGACCTGTGTATGCATTTTAAATTTGTAGCAGCTAAATTTAAATTAAAGAAGATGTTTAAAAGCTGTTATTCTTTAACAGTAAGTGGAGAAAAACATGGAAAAACTTTATCTTACAATTTTTACATATGTAAATGAAAATTCCAGTATGTAATTAATTCACTATCTTTTTCCCTTGATTTCACTTTTGTCTATGCATATTTAGCGCCATATAGTAATAGTTATGAAGTCTGTTCCCAGCCTACTTTGTTTTAGCAATAATGAAAATCCATGGTGTGTTGTGAAGCATATGGTAATGTTTAATTAATTTCTAAATAACTTGGATGCATTGTGGTGAAATTTCATCAGCTTACACAGGAGTGACATTTGCTAAAATGCTGTATTTTATTGTATTTGTATTTATTTCTCTTTATTAGACTCTAAATCATGTTTCAATTACACAGCAATAAGGTTAAAGATTGCAATAGATTTTTATAGATACAATGCATATCAAAATTCCATGCAAGCAAAGTTAATAATATTAAAATGCAAATATTGTGACTAAAACAACTGTAAATATTACTCCTTGATTTTTACCTCCTCTGAAGATATTTTTAGCTGACCCTGTGGTAGAATCAGTTTTTAATTTTTTGAAATTATCCCATTTATTTCAGTTCTATGAATTGCTTAGTACGTTGGAGTACTATGTGAAATGAAATAATATTTAAAACAATGAGCAGTAAATGATATAGAAAACCACTCTATACTTAGATGCTCCTACCTTATCTCCTTCAGAAAACGTGATGCCATCCATGGCTCTTTTCCAAGTGATTTCTGGAATAGGCTCCCCTTCTGCTTCACAAATGAGTGTGACTTGACCATTTTCATATGTAGTCTCATTTTTAAGCTGTATTATGTGAGGCTGCACTGTAGAAAATATATACATTACTCAATCTGTATTAGAGGAAAATGCTACAATTCAGATTTAAAAGCCACAGTAGGCATTCAAAGTCCACTTAATATATTATGAAATTATTATTTTTATAGGTAGTACAGTGACACATTTTTCCATTAATAGGCATGTTGTGAAACTTGTGAAGCTCAGAAGAAAAACTTTAGGAAATAATGCTCACTTATTATTATTATCATTGTTATTATGAAAATAATATCAAATCATAATTTTTTCCAAAATTCTGCCAATTTACACTCATATTATTTTTCTCTCTTAAAGTAACAAAATTAAAATACATACATACATGCTTACATGCTATATATATATATATATATATATATATATGTGAATTATATATGTTTACATATATGTATTTGTTGTATCCACTAATTTAATGAAAACCCAGTAAGCTTTAAAAACAATTTCACAATGAGGGAAAATTATGAGTGAATTGGGAATATTTAACTAATAGAATTATGGGTAACCTAAAAATGTTTATAAGTTATATATTCATATATATATATATTTTTTACAGATATTATTCTAGTTGATTGATTTTAACTTACTATATGTGATAACTACTTTGTTCCTTATAATTATTATTTCTATAAAAATGAAAACATAATTAATAATTTAAATTATCTGAATATAAAAAATTATGTCCATTCACAAAATGACTTAAGGACATAACATTTTAATTACTTTAAATTCTGTAATCTTTGATTTTCTTAAATATTTATTTGGACATAATAGGGTAAAAAGAAAAGCATTTGTTATTATAGTACTGGTAACAGTTAAATGTCTTAATCTTTAAATGAAATTGATCATGATCAATTTCATAATATACAAATACAAATATATATATATATATATGTACATATTTAATACATACCCATATATGTAACATATGCATATATTTAATACATACATATAAAATGCATATACTTATACACACACATATACATATAATACATATATATTTAATATATACTATATATGTTTAATCTCAGAAGGAAGACTGAGCAACCTACTTCTGTAGAGATACTGCCTCAGAAATGCAAGAAAGGGTTGCTACGAGTTGGAATTGAATTGAATTAACTCTACAGTAGTGTTATATAGCTTTAATGTTTATATGCCTAATACATACATATATATTTAATGCATATATAATTGAAGGAGCTCTGGTGGTATAGTGGTTGAGGAACTTGGCTGCTAACCAAAGGGTCAGTGGTTTGGATCCACTAGCCACTCCATGAAAGAAAGATGAAGCAGTGTGCTTACAGCCTTGGAAACCCAGTGGGGGTAGCTATACATCACAATCTACATATATGTGTGTGTGTGTGTGTGTGTGTGAGTGAGTGTATATATACTCATTCCTTATAAAATTTACACATATCTATTTTTAATGCACATACATACATATGTATGTAATACATACATGTAATATATAATATATAATTATTATATGTAAGACATATATTTGATGCATAAAAACATTTATTACATATATTTTTATATAAGGAGCTCTGGTAGCATAGTGCTTAAGGCACTTGACTGCTAACCAGAAAGCTGGTTGTTCAAATCCACCAGCCACTCCTCAGAAGGAAGGTTGGGCAATCCTACTTCTGTAGTGATACGGACTCGGAAACCCAAGGAGGGGTCGCTATGAGTCGGGGTCGACTTTACAGCACATAACAACAACAACGTTTTTATATATGTACTGTTGGTATATATTTATTTATTTACTTATTTAATACATATATGGGAGTTCTGGTTATGCAGTGCGTAAGGTATTTGGCTGCTAACCAGATGGTTGGTGGTTCAAACTGAAGAGTTGCTTCCTGGGAGGAAGATAAGGCAATCTACCTCCATAAAGATTTACAGCCTTGGGAACTCTATGAGGATTTCTATGAGTCAGAATTGACTTGATGGCAGTGGGTTTTAGTTTGTTTGTCTCATATACGTTAAGTATATAAGGAGCTCTGGTGGTGCAGTGGCTAAAGGATTCAGCTGCTATCCCAAAGGCCTGCAGTACAAATCTACCAGCCACTTTATGGAAGAAAGATGAGGCTGTATGCTTCAGTAAAGATTTAGTCTTGGAAATCATCTGGAGGAGTTTTACTCTATCCTATAGGGCTGCTATGAGTCAGAACTGACCTGATGGCACTGAGTTATATAAGTATATAAATATATACTGTTATTAATATGTAATATAGAGAATAATTAAGAATATGTAGAATAATTAAAAATTCACTGCTCATTCATTGTCCACTATATAATATAAACATGATTTTGTGTTAAAAACAACACAAATTTCTTCATTATTATTTGACAAAAGGAAATAAATAATTAATAGAGACATGCAACATATATTTTATGCATTATAATTTTCTAATTGAAATGCTATGAGTTATTTCTCTCTCTGCTCTCTTTCTCCCTGCCATCCTAAAAATAAATAAGACAACACAAATAAGATAATAAAAATAAAGTAATTAAAATAGTATTTCAATGAGTTTATTGAGGGTAGGATATATGACTTCATTTTTGTTTTCCAGCACCTAATAATGCCTGGTACATGGCATGCCACAAAGAGAAAGCTAATTATATGGAATACATCTAGAATAAATATATTGTGTTCTGGCTTATAAGGCCATTATTAACTTATGGTGGCATGATTTTTTTTTCTTTTAATTCCTTATTCATGTATTATAATAAGGATTAGAGTCTAACTAAAAACTTACTGCCGTTGAGTTGGATCCGGCTCATAATGACCCCTCCTTGGGTTTCTGAGGTGGTATCACTACGGAAGTAGATTCTGAGGAGTGGCTGGTGGGTTGGAACCGCCAGCCTTCTGGTTAGCAGTCAAATGCCTTAGGCACTATGCCGCCAGATTTTAAATTAATTTCCATCATTTTTTGAAAAATCAAACCTGTGCTCAACAGCACAAAACAAAAATTAAATCCATTGTTACTGAGTCAATTTCAACTCAAAGCAATTCTATAGGAGAAAGTAGAACTGCCCATAGGGTTTGTTAGGTTGTGAATCTTTACAGAAGTAGACTGCCACATCTTTTGCTTAGAATGGCTACTAAATTTGAGCTGTAGACCTTTCAGTTAACAATCAAATGCTTTAACTGCTGTACTACTAGGCTACAACATCACAAACCCAATATTTAATTAAAAAATACCTTTCTAACTTTTTAACACTGAAATCAAGACAGATAGCTACCAGATGAAATATCTTAGAAAATGTATCAGATTTTGAAGAATTAGAAACTCAATTACAATCATGTAAACTACACAACTATTAAGTCAGGCCCGAATGACTCGACCACATATAACTGCAACAACAACTACAACATAAACGATAGGGATAATCTGTCATGTGGAGTTACCTCATATATCAATGTTGGTAATTGTTGTTGTTGTTAGGTACTGTTGAGTTGTTTCTGACTCATAGCAACCCCATGCACAGCAGAATGCAACACTTCCCAATCCTGGCCAGCTCCATGATTCCTGCTATACTTGAGCCTATCATTGCAGCCACCGTGTCAACCCATATCGTTGAAGGCCTCTTCTCTTTTGTCAACCCTCCACCCTACCAAGCATGACATCCTTCTCCAAGGAATGGTTTCTTCTGACAATATGACCAAAATAGGTGAGACGAAGTCTGGCCATTCTCACTTCCATGGAGCATTTCGGGTGCACTTCCTCCAGGACAGATCTGTTAGTTCTTTTAACATTCCATGGTACTTTCAGCATTCTTCGCCAGCACCAAAACTCAAAAGCATCAACTCTTCTTCAGTCTTTCTTATTCATTGTCCAGCTCTCACATGCATACGAGGTGATTGGAAATATCACAGCTTGTGTCAGGTGCACCTTAGTCCTCAAGGAGACATCCTTGCTCCTCAGCTCTTGAAACAGTTCCTTGGTGGTTGACTTTCCAAATGTTACATGTCCTCTAATGTCCTGACTGCTGCTCCCATTGGCATTGATTGTAGAACCAAGCAACGTGAATTCTTTGACAACCTCAATCTTCATTCCGTTTATTATGATGCTGCTCATTGGTCCAAATGTGAGGATTTTTGTTTTCTTTATATTGAGACATAATCCATACTGCAGATTGTATTCTTCAACCTTCATCAGTAAGTGTCTCAAGTCATCCTCAATTTCAGCAAGCAAAGTTGTTACCGTCTGCATATCTCGGGTTGTTAATGATTCTTCCTCCAATCCTGATGCCATGTTTTTCTTCATATAGTCCACCTTCTTGGATTATTTGCTCAGCATATAGATTGAATAAGTGTGGAGAAAGGATACAACCCTGACACACTCCCTTCTTGATTTTAAACCATGTAGTATCCCCTTGTTGTGTTTGAATGACAGTCTTCTGGTCAAGGTACAGGTTCCTCGTGAGTACAATCAAGTGTTCGGAAATTCCCATTCTTCTCAATGTTATCCATAATTTGTCATGATCCGCACAATCAAATGCCTTTGCATAGTCTTTAAAACACAAGTAAACATCTTTCTGGTATTCTTTGCCTTGAGCCAAAATCCATCTGACAACAGCTATGATATCCCTTGTTCCATGTCCTCTTCTGAATCCAGCTTGCACCTCTGGAAGTTCTCTGTCAATATACTGCTGCATATGTTTTTGAATTATCTTCAGTAAGATCTTACTTGCATGCAATATTAATGATATTGTTCTACAATTTCCACAATCTGTGGGATGACCTTTCTTTGGAATCCAAATATGCATCTCTTCCAGTCAGTTGGCCAGGTAGCTCTCTTCCAGATCTCTTGGCATAACTGAGTGAGTGTCTCCAATGGAGCATCCATTTATTGAAATATTTTAATGAGTATTCCATCAATTCCCAGAGCCACCTTCTTCGCCAGTTCTTTCATTGCAGCTTTCATTTTCTCCTTCAGTACCATTGGTTCTAGATCATATGCTACTTCCTGAAATGGATGAAGATCAACCAGTTCCTTTTGGTACAGTTATTATGTGTATTCCTTCCATCTTCTCTTGATGTTTCCTGCATCATTCAATATTTTGCCCATAGAATCTCTCAATATTGCAACTCAAAGCTTAACTTTTTCTTCAATTCTTTCAGCTTGAGAAATGTTGAGTGCATTCTTCCCTTTTGGTTTTCAAACTTCAGATCTTTGCACATTTCATTTTAGTAACTGGTTTTGTCTGCTTGAGCTGCTCTTTGATATCTTCTGTTCAGCTTTTTTATCTTGTCATTTCTTCCATTTGCTTTGGCTACTCTCCACTCAAAGGCAAGTTTCAGAGTCTCTTCTGTCATCCATTTTGGTCTGTTCTTCCTTTCTCGTCTTTTTAGTGATCTCTTGCTTTCTTCATGGATAATGTTCTTAATATCCTCCCACAATTCTTCTGGTTTTTGGTCGTTGGTGTTCAATGCACCAAATCTATTCTTTAGATGGTCTCTAAATTCAGGAGGGATATATTCTAGATCATATTTTGGCTCTCTTGGACTTATTTTAATTTTCTTCAACTTCAAGTTGAACTTGCACATGAGCAGTTGATGGTATGTTTCACAGTCAGCTCCTGGACTGGTTTTGGCTGAAGAGATTGAGCTTTTCCATCGCCTCTTACCACAGATGTAGTCAATCTGATTCCTGTGTGTTCTATCTGGTGAAGTCCACGTGTAGAGCTGCCGTTGTGTTGTTGAAAAAAGGTGTTTGCAATGAACAAGTCGTTGTTCTTGCAAAATTCTACCATGCGAGTTTCAACATTATTTCTGTCGCCAAGGCCAAATTTTCCAACTACTGGTGATATTTTTTTGTTTCCCACTTTTGCAGTCCAGTCACCAGTGATTATTAACACATACTGATTGCATGTTCAGTCAATTTCAGACTCCAAAAGTTGATAAAAGTCTTCAATATCCTCATCTTTGGCTTTGGTGATTGGTGCATAAATTTGAATAATAGTCGTATTAGCAGGTCTTCCTTGTAGGTGTGTGTATATTATCCTATCACTGACAGCATTGTACTTCAGTACAGATCTTGAAACATGCTTTGTGATGATGAATGATGCCATGTCATTCCTCTTCAAACTCTCATTCCCTGCATAGTAGATCACATGGTTGTCTGATTCAAAATGGCCAAAACCAGTCCATTTCAGTTCACTAATGCTGAGGATATCAATCTTTATGTGTTCCATTTCATTTTTAACAATTTCCAATTTTCCTAGATTCATGCTTCATACATTCCATGTTCCAATGATTAATGGATGTCTGCAGCTGTTTCTCTTCAATTTGAGTTGTGCCCCATCAGCAAATGGAGATATTGAAAGCTTTACCTTATCCATAGGAGTAAGGCTGGGTTTACTCAGATGATGCAGCCATTTTCCCAGTCCTATTTTGAGAGCCCTCCACCCTAACCACACTATTTATAAAGTTGCATGGTAATGTATCAAACTGTGTTTCTTTGCTATTCATAAGGTTTTCTCTGGCCAATTCTTTGAGAAGTGGATGGCCTCCTCCTTCTTCCTAGTCTGTCTTAGTCTGTAAGTTGGGCTGATACCTGTGCACCATGTGCATCCTGCTAGGTTAGAAACACCAGTGGCTCAGCCTGAAAACTCACATCAACACGTCACCACTTTAGGACAAACCGACAGACAAGTTTGCTTGCCTGTTGGAAACCTCTCGTACCACCCTTACCTGGGTCCCTGTGGCTGACTCTAATTATTTAATTTCTAATTATTTAATTTATTTTTTATGTTGAGTTATATTGATGTAGTGTTGTAACATTATAAGAGAAAAATATTTTAAGTTGGGAATACTGATGAAAATAGGGGATTTCTATACTTCTTTTAATTATAATTACTCTTTCTCCTCATGTGAAACAAGCTTCTCCAGGTGCTTTACATTCTGAGTTCCCCTCATTGATTTCTGTTTAAACATCATCTGAACATCACCCTTCTGAGTAACTTTTCATTTCCATGCTATCCAAAAGAGTCTCTCCCTTTATGCAACCCTACCTGGGATTTATTCAGTTCCACTTCTTCCTTAGAAGGTTTTATTGTCTAAATTTCATTTACTTCTATTTTTTAAATATTTGGTATAGCCATTTCTTTTCTGTCCTACTCTGCTGGAATATAAGTTTTATGAAACTTTCTCATTCAAAAACTGTTTTCAATTCAGTGACTATAGAATCAATGGTCAGAGAGTGAGCCCATACAGGCATTGTCATTCCTTTTGTGGTCTGTGTAAGTGGGACTCTTCCACCATGAAAAATAACTATTGGTCTTCTTTACTCCTACAGAGTCCTCATTTCTTTTCTTCCTCTTTGTTGTGCATCTATTTTCATAATAACATTTTTTTCAAATAGAGACAACATATTAAATGGTTTTAGTAAATATGATCTTTAGCACCATACTTACTAAAGAGAATATTATAATGACCAACCATTGTCATTTAATGCAAACACAGTGGAAGCTGAATCAATTATTACAATTTCTTTTTTTTAATTCTGTATTTTTTGTAATTTTCTCAAAGAAGACAATTATAGCTTTTGGTAAATATGGATGATATATTATGTTTCCTTTTAATAAATGACAAATAATGATTTAATTACACTTACAGATCAATTATTTCCTAATTATAAATGAATGCCTGGAGTATATGGAAAGTCAAATTGATCCCTACATTTGTAATTAAAATATTTATGAGGATCAAGCTTCATATTGAAAAAATATGACAATGTTATATGTGTAATTTAAAAGAACTTTCTTCCAGCCTGTGATATATGTCAGCCAATATCTTAAAAGGCTTTATATGTGCATATTCATATCATCTGTAAAATATAAGGTAAATTCTATTTTAAAATATATTTTAGAGATGAGAAAGTTTAATTGTGGAAAATCAAACAGCTTATACCAGTTGTAGAGTAGGATTTAACTCAGATTTCCCTCTAGATAACTAGATAGTAACCACTGTGCTATAATACTTACCAAAAACTTGGAGGAATGCATGTTTTTCATCTTCTCCTGCCTTATTGGTGGCCCTGCAGACATAAGGGCCCCCGTCACTGTTAATTATGTTCCTGATAGTAAGTTCTGTACTGCTTCCTTTCAAAAAGTACTTTTCATTTTCTTCAATGACCTTACCATTCCTAAGGAAGAAAAGAGAGTTTGATCTTTATAAATCTGCTTTCATAATTGAGATGATAATAATACTCAACTTTCCAATCTACAGGCATCAATCATTTCATATCCACTGTCACTTATGGACAAGGTTATATTTCTATCAAAGGTATATTTTTAATAGCTCAGGGAAACCTTAGTGGAGCAATATTAAAATTATACTTGAAAGTTGGCCCGATTTTAGAGATAAGAATAATATATGAGCTATGTAGAAATATGAGCATTAACCAGGCAAAAACAAAACAAAACAATACACTGGTTCAACTTTTACTCTGTTGAAAGAAATAACTTCCTCTGCTAATTTTAATGGCATATACATTTTAAATATTGCTGAGTCAACACATACTTATATTTAGTTACAAGGTTCTGAGAACATTGCTTAAGGAATATTGATGGAAACATCCTCCAAAAAAACATTTAAAAAAATGCAAATAAAAAATCAACTTAAAGTACATGTAAGTATTATTAATAAAAGTACAAGATGTTATAATTGAGTGAATATAGAGTTAATTACATAAATCATGCCAAATATGATGATTTGATTTGATAATGATTAGAAGGAATCATTTTACTTTTGTAATTTCCCTCTTGTTGCTAGTTACAGTCAAGTTGGTTCTGACTCATGGCAAAACCAGGTATAAAAGAAGGAAACATTGCACAATCCTGTGTCATCTTCAAAATTATCAATGGCTTAGTTATATTTTGCTATTTTAAAAGAAATATCACAAGTGGATGACTTTAACAAACAAATTTATTTTCTCACAGCGTAGAGGACAGAAGTCTGAATTCAGGGTGCCAACTCTAGGAGAAGGCTTTCTCTCTCAGTTAGTTCTAGGGAAAGGCCCTTGTCTCTTCAGCTTTTGATTCTTGGCTCCTTTGCGATCTCCATGTGCCTTGGTATCTGTCTTATTCCATCTCTTCTCTGTTTACTTGTTTAATATCTTTTATATCTTAAAAGAGATTGAGTCAAAATACACCCTATACTAATTTTGTGTCATTACTGTAGCACAGACAATTATCTCACTCTCAAATGGGATTATAATCATACCTATAATCATAACCTATTGCTGTAAGGTTTATTCTCACTCTCAGTAATGCCATAGGACAGCAAAAAACAGCCCCATAGGGTTTTCAAAGCTATAAATCTTTATAGAAACAAACGCCACATCTTTCTCCTGCATAGTGCCTGTTGAGTTTGAATGGCCAATCTTTTGCTTAGCAGCCAAGCACTTTACCACTGCACCATGAGGGCTCCATCACAGGTCTAGAGGTATGCATGCAAATACATATTTTCTGGGGACATATTTCAATCCATAACACTTGGTATATTTGTGTCTATTTTTGTGGTCACTATGTATTTTGAGTGCCTTCTAACCTAGGGGACACATCTTCCAACGTTATCTCATACAACATTCTTTTGATATCCATAATATATTCATTAGCTATTTTTTAGAAGTAGATGTCCAGTCCTTTCTTTCTCCTCTTTTTACAGAAGCTCCACTGAAAACTGTCCACCATGAGTAAACTTGCTGGTATGTGAAATACTGGTGGTATAGCTTCCAGCAAATACCAACATGCAGAACAAAACAGTAAGACAAACGGACAGATGAGTGGCAGGAGTTCCCTCTCATATTATTTTCAATAATGTTGGAGTTCTCTTTGAATTGTAATAGGCTTAATTCTGCTCAAACATTAGTATTTGTAGTTCTCTAAAACAATGCTTTGAAACTTTTCTCATTGTAATTTATACCAAGAAATACTTTAAATATACTCAAATATCATATAATTTCTAAATTATCCTTATTGTGTATGAAATCTTATACTATATATTCTCTTCTATTTTATTTCTGTCCTCTTCTTTCTTCTTTGCCTCCTATGTTTTTCCAATAATGGTTTGAAAAATTTAATTGATTCTAATATCCATTAATGTACAAAGTGGAGGAGCCCTGGTGGCAAGGTGGTTAAGGAAGTTATCAAGTGATAACTGAAATGCCATAGGTTTGAATCCACCAGTGACTCTATGGGATGTGGCAGTCTGCTTCCATAAACATTACACACTTGGAAACCCTATAGGGCAGTTCTACTCTGTCTAATAGGATTGGCATGAGTCACAATTGACTAGATGGTAGTGGTTGTGTTTCTTTCTTTCTTCTAAATTTTTTTAATGTAAAAACTTAAAGATCTGTAAAGGGTGGGGTGGGGAAGAAGAGGACTTTATTTAATTGTCCCTACAAGCTAATTTAAAATAAATAAATTTAAAATATATATAATACAGTGATCTCTAAAGGTATTATAAAATTCTTTCCCAGACTGAATAGAACACTTCTCTGATATCCTGAAAATATTGCCAGTGAATTCTGGTTTTGCTTCCTAACAAGACTGTCATGTACTTAATATAATTCTTAAACTTTGTATGTTTCTATATCATAAATTACCCCAGTTTCTCATCACTTATTCAAATATATTATGAGGTGACAGAAAACTCAAAAGCAGAGTAAAAAAAAAAAAAAAAAAGCAACTCACTGCCATAGAGTTGATTCAACTCATAGTGACCCCTTCTTGGGTTTCCAAGGTGGTATCTCTAGAGATGTAGATTGCCCAATCTTCTTTCTAAGGAGCGGCTGGTGGTTTTGAACTGCCAGTCTTCTGATTAGTAGTCAAATATCTTAGGCACTACACCACCAGAGCTCCCACAAGGAAGAGTAGGTAACTGGAAAGTGAATGTTTATAATAACAATAATTCCCTATAGTTTAATCTGAAACTCTGGTAGCATAGTGGATAAGGTATTTGGCTGCTAATCATAAAGTCAGTGATTCAAACCCACCAGCTGCTGCATGGAAAGAATATGGGCAATCTACTTCTGTACAGATTTACAGAGTTGGAAACCCAATGGGGGTCGATATGAGCTAGAACTGACTTGATGGCAGTGAGTATTTATTTTTATTTTTTTTAATAGTTTAATCTACTACTTGTCTGTAAATTTGCTGTACTGTGGTGGCTGGCATGTTGCTGTGAGGCTGGAAGGTACCCACTGATATTTCAGATACCTGCAGGGACACCCATGGTGGAGTGCTTTCAGTGGAGCTTCCAGACTAAGACAGACTAGGAAAGAGAACAGGCCATCTACTTCTGAAAAAAACTGACCAATGAAAGAATTCTGGTAAGATGGCAGAATAGGTAGAAAGACTGCACAGACCCTCTTCAACAAAGAAAAGGGGAACCAATTAACACAGATACAGAAGATATTCCTGGACCCCTGAGTTTTGAAGGGAAAGATATAGAAGTGGACTAAATGCCAACTAGCAGAAGAATTTGCATGAAAATACCAGAAAAGGAAACATATGGAGCTGTGGTCTGGCAGTGATCCTGAGGGCACAGACAGCTTGGATATTGCAGAGGGGTGGTAGGACCTAAGAGTGAACATAAAAATTAGCTCTGCTAACCAGGAACTGCATGGAGGACGCCTCTTGTGGCTGGAGAATAAAAGAGGAAGCAGCAAAGAGGAAGGTGGGCTGAGCTGTGGGCTTTTGCCTGTCCAGAGATCACAGCTATTTGGAATGTTTACAAGTAGTTTGACTATTTTGGATATTTAAAGTGACAGCATTCTTCCAGATTCCAGGGACTTAAGAACTGGCTCCACTTGCTGGGAATCTCAAGGACATTCTGGATGTGGATTACTGGAAATGCACTACATTCCCCTTGTTACTCTTATATCCCACACCATCGTGGTGAAGGGAGGTGCAGCCATCCCCCACTCCCACCCACCTTCTAGACTGGCAAGAATTCCATACCAGTCTGTGTGCTCAGACAGAGCCTGGGTGCCCTGCCCTGCCCCGATAATTTTTTTCTTTTTTTTTAGTTTGTTTGTTTTTGTATGTTTTTAAAACTACTATCACTGTTATTACTTTTTTCCTTTTTACTATTATTCTTTATTCTTCCCTTCCTAGGTTCTAGTTGTGAGTGTTTTTTTTTTTTTTTTTTTCCCCCTATTTCTGGTTACAATCTGTTTTTCTTCCTTTTGGTTAACCTCATACCTTGTTTTTCCCATCTTATTCCTTCATTATTCTCTTTCTCTACCTTTTATTCTCTTAGTGCCCTCTCCCCAGATATTGCATTGTTTTAATTTTTTCTTCTTTTTCCCTTTGTTGGTTACTGTTTCTGTGTGATTACATGGTGTTCTTTTACTCTATTTGCTTTTACTTTTTTGATGGCTATTCAATTGTTACTTTTGTCTAACTGAGTGGAAGACATAAATAGTCTTCATACAACACAACTACACCCACACTACATGCAGCTTCAGTTACTGAGTGAGAGCCACCACTTCCTTCTCCACCAATGGGCCAACAAATAACTACCAAGAAGAGCCTGACAAGCCCTTTGCTGCTCTTTGCAGTTAACAGAGATCTAAATACACCAATACCATGATGTCTTGGAGACAAAAGACCATCACAGTCTACACAAAGAACCAAGATAAAGTTGTAGAAACAAGGTAGCAGGATACAGACCCAGAACACAACCCTGAAGAAGAAGCAGCACTGGAACTCTCTGATAAGCAATTCAAAAGAATTTATTTAGGTATCTTCAAAGGACTGAGAGGCAGATCAAGGAAAATACAAACAAACCCTAGAAGAATTTTGGAAGAAAATAGAAGACAAAATGAAAAAATAAGTGAAAAATTAGAAATGATTCTAAATGTACATATAGAAATCAAGAACATGAACACTAAATTTTCAGAAATAGATAACACATTGAAAGGACAAAGGAGTAGAATTGATGCAATGGAAGACAGAATTAATGAGATTAAAGACAAATACCTGAATACTTCTTTGGAGAGGGATCAAACAAAAAAAAGATTAAAAAAATGTAGAAAGCCTAAGGTTCATGTGAGAAACAATCAAAATGAATAACCTACATGTCATTGGAATTCCAGAAAAGGAAGAGAAAAATAAAACCATTGAGAAAATTGTC